CAACAGTGGTTACGCCTTGTCATAGCTAGAATATGGAGATCTCTGATTATCAATTAATTGTTTTGATCAGTATACCTTCATACCGAACGAAAACAATGAACCGAATCTACTTGCAGTAAAACTGATAATTTAAACAATTTTTAAATATTAGTTGTACTTCCCTGTGTATCCTCGTCACAGCTAGAATATAGTGTTTGTTTTGTTTGTAGTTAAGCACAAAGCTACACAAAGGGTTATCTGTGCTCTGGCCACCACGGGTATCGAAACCCGGTTTCTAGCGTCGTAAGTCCACAGACACGCCGTTGTGCCACTGGGAGGCACTAGAATATAGAGTAATCTGATTATCGATTAATTGTTTTGATCATTATACCTTCATACCGAATGAATGCGTTGAACCGGATCTATTTGCAGTAAATTTGATAATTTAAAGAAATCGAAAATATTAGCTGTATTTTCTTGTGTATCCACAAGCTTTCTTCATTGCGTAGCATTTTCTCATTGCCCGCACTTCCCAAGATGCAGAAGTCGTTGAGTGTGATTGTTAATGTCAAAAAATACATTATATAATCAATCGGCCATTCTTCGCCACTGTTTACAAGACTCTGACAATTTTTCTTTATATAAAAGATAAGCATTGATGATTAAATATTAAGTACAAAATATTGTATAATATGATTTATTAGTCCTTGAAAATAACGTTACACATAGACAGACAATATGTGTGACATTAAATATAAAAAAATGAAATACCACCAGATTTTTGCATAATGCTACAGAAAGCATTAAACAATTCATTAATTCAAACTATATTATAGTTTTTTGTTCGCAAACTCTTCTGAAGTATTATTTTAAGCAGAATAAAGAAGCCAATTGATATTAACTTAAAATAAGAGAAAGCTGGTTTTAAACTCAAAAGGTCATATATCGACCAAATTTTCACGAAGAGAGCAAAGACTGGCAAAAACTACTCATTATAAACTTTATAGATTTTATGAAAACACTGGACAGCATTCAGTGCTAACCACTCTGGAACATCTTGAAATGTTATAATCTCTCAATAAAAACAAGTAGTATCATCAAGCTTTTATATTAAGGTAGCATGCACAATTAAACAAAGCTCAGATATGAGCAAATAGTTCAGCATAGACGCAGACGTCAAGTTAGAATGCATACTTTCACCTCTCCTGTTTAGCATCACCATTGACTACACTGTGTAGCTGGATGCAAAGCAGGCATTGCATGGCTTAACAGCAAGACACTTGAAAATTTAGATTCTGCTGTCCAGTATTGCATAAAAGGTGCGACTAATAATCAATTATTAAGTAAACATCTATTGACAGATCTCAGCAACACTCAATTCAAGCCTTACTTTAGAATGCAAAGGAATAAAAGTGAATTAATTGGCATACGTTTGTAGTAACATGCAAGACAACGAGTACGTTCAGAAGGAAATAATGTCACAAACTGGCAAAATTGCCGCTGCATTTACCAACTTAAACAACAGTTGGTAATCGAAGATCTACAACTTAAAGATCAAACTACAAATCTTCAACTCAAATGCTATTTCTACCTTAAGTCTCATTGTTTGGTATTTTGACTATAGTGTCGTTTTTTCTTATTGTGGGGACTTTTCTTGACCATTTTCTTATTGAATGTTTGTATGTTTGTTTTGAATTTCGCGCAAAGCTACACGAGGGCTATCCGCGCTAGCCGTCCCTAATTTAGCAGTGTAAGACTAGAGGGAACGCAGCTAGTCATCACCACCCACAGCCAACTCTCGGGCTACTCTTTTACCAACGAATAGTGGGATTGAACGTCACAT